TGGAGTTCTATTCAGCAGTGAAGAAAGATAAAACAACGAAATTTGCAGGTAAATGGATGGATCTAGAAACTGTCATACTAAGTGAAGTACACAGACTCAGGAAAACAAACACTGTATGTTCTTCCTCATATGTGGATCCTAGAACCAAATCTTTTGAAATACCAGGTCCTTTTAATAAGATGTTTCTGTACAGTAGTCTGTGCTGCATGAAATAACTACCATCATCATGACTTCAGCTGAGCCTGATCACTAAATATCATCACAATTGGGCTTATAGATGGTTATGCTCATGCATTAAAGGAGGGCCAAGCAGGTCATTGGACCCTCACCACAGCCATAGTTTGAGCATTATATTAATTTAGTCAGAGGGACTTAAAGGACAGTTTTTACTCCTTGCCTTTCAAGGTCGACTAAGTTCCAGGGGACTATGAAGCATCTCTCAAAATGTCCTGTAACTGTGGTGAGTCACCTGTCCTCTTGTTCAGGGAGGCCATGGAGACCCCATGAGATGGACTTGAACCAGTGTCCAGTCTACAAAGAGGAGAGTCAACTCAGAAAACATCTCATTCATGCTTCTAAGGGAAGCCAGACATGGTTGAGCAGGACCTTTGACTTATCATCACATAGATGGAACTGGTCAAAGAAAGGAGCCAGGAGCTCCTCCCAAGCCCATGTGACCCCTGAGGAACAGATGCTCAAATGACCTTAAGTGTAAAAATAAATTGATTTATTTGGGCCAACTGTATGGTCTTAAACACCTAAAAACAAAGTATAACCCAAAAGTAAAGTCATCAGTATATTTCTTTAAGCGTTCAAGGGATTACACGTCCCAGACATTAGGCTTAAGTCTATATAAAAAGTTATTTAGACAATTATTTATTATTAATGATTTTTTTCCTAACCAGAAAGTGCTGCTCGGATGTAAGCCTTCAAATCTTGGTCTCCAATACTGTAGCGTCCACCTGTAGCTAAGGGAGGCAACCAGCTATTCTAAAACGATGGATAAATTTTTCTCCCCCTATCTAGAAGCCTTTGAGAGGGAACTGACACTGATTCTAACCACTCCAACAGCTATCAAAATACCTGAAAGTAAATCCTGAATCCATCACTCTAGAGTCCAGCCTTGGAAGACAAAAGAAAAATGAGGTGGAAGCTTTTGAAAGCCCTTGTCAAGAAATTCCAATGACTCTCATGAACATGTGTGAAAATTGCCCTGTTCTGTCTAGAACTTGTAATGCTAATTACTCATGCCTTTACTTCTCCTTCACATCTCCTAATTACAATTCAGACTTTCTTTTACCCTTAGAGATAATAATTATGCAATTTATGAGTCTTTTGGATAGACCCACTGAAGGGGTACTCCAATTGCCTCACCCTGTGTCCCTGTTCAGCATGGAAGAAGCCAGAGGGGTCTGTGTCTTGATTCCCTGTTGGCAATTTGGGTAACCTCTTCAGAGGATGGTGTGATAAGAATAGGAGGTAGGAATTGGCGAGACAGGGTAAAAAGACCCCGAAGAAAAGTAGCCAGTTTCTTGGCTAAAACTCACAATGTCCTTGGGCCTCTTAGCAACATACTCTGTTCCAAAGGCCAAAAATGTCGAAATATTTCAGAGCATAAATCTAATCCTTAAAAGATTTTAGGGTTACATCTTCAGAGGGGGGAAATGTTAGAGTAGCCAAAAGCCCCATAAAAAATAAATAAGAAGAAAGAGTACATGAAGTTATCAGAAAAAAGTGATGGGGAGATATGGGAGGAGTTGGAGGGGAGGGAGTGGGCATGGATTTGATCAAACACCTTATACGCATGTAAGAAATTCTCAATAAATTATTTATTTTAAAAAAAAAAATGAAGTGGTCTCAGTTCAGCTAGGGATAGGTGTAACTTCGGACCTGTGGTTCTAGGACAGACAGCACACCATCACAGAGCAATGTGGTTGGCTGGGAGACTGCTAGAAGAGTGGGTGAGCAGATAGATCAGTGTTGATTTTTGATTGGCGAGACAGGGGTGATGCCAATTTTGTGGTAACAAAAAACAAAAAGCAAATATAACTCTTGAGTGCATCTGTCTGGATGTGTGCACTGGCTACATCATTTCAGCTATGTCTGCAACTGTGGGGATAGCTGCCAGGGCAGGTAAGGTTCTGTAGAGCTCATCAAACTGGGTTGGTTCGAAATCTGGATGACCTGAAATAGGCCTGTGAGTATGTGATGGAGGAGAGGAAATGCTGGGATCAAGAGACTCATGCATCTTGGAGGTGCATGGGGTACAAGACCTAAGTTAGGAAACTATGTACAAGGTAAGTGTGAACATGCTAATTTGGTAGCTTAACATTTATTAAAGTTTACAAGTTTCTCTGTACATAATACAATTCTATGGTAAAATTATGGTATGATTTGCAAAAAGTGAAAAAAAAATAGTTGTTCAAATCTTCCTGAGGCACAATCACACTTTTCTATGTTGCAAATTTAACAGTAAAACTCAGTGCATGCACACTCTCCCCCACCCCCCACCCCATATAGTTAAGTGACTATTGCTGGTAACAAAATTTAAGTATCTGAAATAGTTTTGTATAGTTACATTTATAATTCCCAGGAGGAAAACTGTTCTGCACTGAAGGCTCATCCCACTGCAGCACTTCTGTGAAGGCTGTTTGTCTATCCCACCTACCCTAAGCAGAAACCCGGTCACAGTCCTTTCTGTCCATCTTCCACCTATTGTGTGCTTCGTACCTTTGCTAGGCTGTATGGTATTTATTTGTGTATATATAATTTCATTCTCTTCCTACCACCTGATTCAGAGGACTTTTGTTTTATTCATCTTGATTTTCCATCCTGAACACAGTGCCCAGGATTCGTATGATACAAAATTCATGCATTGATCAGACAGAATTTTACACTCTATTCTGTATAATCACATTACCAAGTCAGGCAAGTTACACCCTGCCCTAGTCTATGCTATTTCCCAGCATAGCAGGAGAGATAATGTATACATGATTCATCAGTACACTGAGTGACTGGTGCATTTGTGAATGTATATATTAGGTGGTGCAGTGATTGACTCCACATTTCAGAAAAAGTAACACCTAAGCCAAATTGTTCAACAAGCATTAAGTATTCACTGTGCTGGTGATGCACCACATTGCTAGAGAATGTAAAATTGAACAGAAAGAACATATACCTTTTCTCTAAAGATTTGCAAACTTGAATTGATAGTTTGAAGAATAATGCTACAGGTAGTCTCCACACGTAACAAAGTTGATGGCCAACTACTTAAACTACGAAAAATTTGAATTCTCCCAAATGGGTGATCAGCAGCACTCCAGCACCCCTCTACTTTTTCCTTATCCTACATCCCCAGAACTCTTCAAATACCTCCTCTGTAATCTTCAGTCTTCAGATTTCCTATGTGCTAGCAACTGAAGGGTCAGCACCCTATGTACTATATATTTTACATTCAATCCCAGCTTTGTCAAGGGGGGTGGATTTACGAAACATAAGCATCAGTGTTTGGTAAACTGCTGTTCAGGGTCAGAGTATAAAATACAAGTTGGGGAAGAGAATCAATGGAATTGAAGAACTGATAAGGTCAATGAAGCTTCATTGAAAGATTTTTGATTGATCTGCTTTTAAGAGCCATTCTATGGGTCCATCAACAGTCAGGCATGGATGGAGGAGGGACTACAGTTGAACTACTTGCTTCTGATAGATTCAGAAAGAGGGAAGTCATTGCCTTCATCTGGGTAACCACTGGTAACCCCACCAGGCTCCAATGGATAGTTCCAGTCCAATGCTCATACCCATTGCCCTGGTGAAACTAAATAAGTCATAAAACAAAACCACAGGTCATGAATCTGGCAAAGAAACTGTAAGGATGAGGGAAAAGTAAGTGGAAAGGGAATAGTCAATACATATATGAAACTGTCAAAGAACAAAATAAATAAAATAAATTTAAATATAGCACATAAAATAAGATTCTGGCCAACCCAAGCACAGAAGTGCTCAATGCTCTTTGCTGAATGAACTCTCAGGATGCTGATAAATTATTGGTAGAAACACATGCCTGCTCTTACTATGCATGTTTTTGGTATTGTTCTATTCCTCTCTGCAGTGAGGAGCTAGCATCCATAATTGTAAGATGAAATAAAAAAAAAAAAGAACCATGAACAAGAAAGTGATACTGAGACTTTGTTCCCATCAATCAAACCCTTTACCAATGAAAAGAAAAGGGGCTTTGTTAGGACTACCAAACTTCTATCAGGGAGTCAGCATCCTTATTTGCATTGGTTATAGCATCTATTATTCTATTGTTACTCCTCTTTCAACTGCGATTTCACTACTAGAGTCTTGGATGCTGAGAAATTACTTGGGGGGAAAAACCCAAACTTGGTTGATCTAGATTTGATTGTTTTCCATTTCACTCAGAACTTTTCACCAAATGTGACAGAATTCTGACACAGGGCTTATTCCTCATTGTGAACAGGCAGGGATTGCTCAGAAGTTTTGGATTAAAAAGGGCTAATGAAAAAAAACATTTTATTGTATCAAAGTATTGATTGATAAAATTTTTTCTCCATTACTTTAATTCCTGATTTGGATAAGAGATAGAATGATTTCTCACTAATGGATGTCAGGTTAACTGATAATTAAACATCCAAAACAGGACCTGAACAAATCGCTGTTTTATTTAGCATCACAGTTACAGGTTCTTCCTAAATGGAAGTCACTGTTCTGTAGATACAATCGATTATAATATAATCCCTATCATTATATGTATAATACATGGTTTTACTTATTCTGTCTTAACAGTAAATGAAAAATCATTCTCACTACATATTAATTTTCAAAAATCTTTCAGCAGCAGGTATCAAAAAAAATCTAAGCAACAAAGTATGTACAACAAATATTCTCTAATTTACTTCCTTTAATACATATAGGTATAGTATTTTCATGTTCTCAAGGACTGAATATTTTTGGCAATAAACAATAAACACACAATCAGGTACCATTTGACACTGTTTAATAATGAAAATTTTTCTTTAAGAATACAGACCACCTTAATGCAATACAAAGGTTTCTTGCTCAGCATCTTATCTCTGGCACATCTCTCTTTGGAGGAGGTTTCTCTTGTCTGCATCCCATCCTATAACAGGCTTTTCATGCAGTCACTCCTCCTCCTCACTCTGAACAGGAAAGCGCTCTGGAGGAAGAACTGATTCCAGTTTCTGCCAACGCTCTGGAGGCCACAATATATGTGTAGCAAGGGCATGAAGAAGTCCCAGAGAAACCTGAATCCAGGGAAAACAGAGACAGCAACAAAGAAGTCATTTCATAACAATCATGATCAGTGTCTTGAAAACCATATTTGATCCAGGTCTGACATTCCATAGAAAGACTTACATAGCATTTTCCCAGGGGAACAATGTATAAACTGCTTTAACTTTCAGAATAGTTATTTTATAGATCAGAAAAAAGAGTTCAGAGATGTTTAGAAAACCACATCAGCTGCCAAGTGTTGGAACACGTGGGCTTTATTACTGGGCTGCCTCCAATCCTAATGCCTAGCCTTTGTATAGACCCAAGAAACGTAAATCTAGCATACTATCTCAGAATGTCCTACAGAGTTACTATGTCTCAGAGAGACCTACCTTATGAAACCATCATAGAGAACTAAAAAGGCACATATTTTGAAAAAAAATTGTCCCATTTGCTAGGCCAGATGAGCAGTGAGAGTTCCAGTGGGAGTCTGGGTTGGGGGCTGTTTCTAGAAAAAGGCACTGAGCATTTGGACAGGTACTCAGGGGAGGAGGAGAGTCAACTGTCCATAACTCCAGGACCAGGGGACCCGACAGCCTCTTCTGTCCTCCCTAGGTATTGCACACAGCATGGGTACACTTACCTATATGCAGGCAATACACGCATACACATAAAACAAAAATAAAAAATAAAAAAACAGAACCCACAGAAGAGCAAGGAGCCCATGGAATTGAGAAAGATATTTTTTCCTTTCTAATTATTTTGAAAATAAGTACCAAAAAAGCAGCTCTATTCAGCAAATAGCACATTATTCACACATTGATATGCTAATTCCTTTCTCATTTCTTGTTTGTACATATATGGATATATACATAAATACTCCTGATACATGTGAAAATTACTACTATCCTGCTGAATTTCCACCTAAATGTTTCAACATGCATTCAAGACCTAAACCCTTTCCCACATGAGCACATTACCATTGTCATATGCAAAATATTTCATATTAATACAGAAATAAAAAATAGTATGCCATCTATATTTTACATTTTCAAGTTGCCTAAGTAATATCTTTTGGAGCCATTAATTTTGAAAATCCAGTATCTCAAACTGCACCTGCTGGTCATTACATTGTTTCCATTTATAGTTAGTTTACTTTAACCTGGAGTCCAGGATGGCTGCATTGTAAAATGTCCCACATCAGACTTGCGTGCGTTTTTGCCTCATAAACAGATGCAAGTTAAATGTTTTGGCAAGAATAAAATGTAGTTCATACTCTATTTTTCCTGTCTGTCCCATTAGGCAGCACAAAATATCAGGTCTCCCAACTGTTGCAATGCTAAATAAACACATATTTTTTACATTCAACTAAGAGAATCTGTGGGGATATTTTGAATAGTATAAATACCATGAATGTCAACATTTCATTTAATGGTTTTACTACCCATCACTATTGTGTCTTGATTATTTATACAAGGGATTATTTAGAAACTGGTATCTGCAATCAGCAATCCTCTTGAGTCACCCTCCTGAGTGCTAGGAAGGATTCCTTTTATAAATTAAAAAAAAAAAAATTAAGTCAAAATCTGTTATCATCCTCTGCTCGTTTGTAGGGTTCTCAGACATCTCAAGCTTGTGGCCAGTGGAGCACCGTGTGTCCTTTGAACATGTTGCCTTCAGTCTTTAAGAACATTCTTAATTTTTGACATTTGAGCTGTGGCAGGCTCCCCTTTATCCCTGACATCTGCTTTATGTATAACCAGACATTTATTTCTGGTTCCTTTGTTTCTTTTAGCAAAGAATGTCATTTATAATTGATATCTGCTAGTAGGTGTGTCAGTACTCTTGGTATGCCAATATCTGGTGTCATTTCAGGGAATAAACATGAAAGAAATCCCAGCACCCAAAAACTGTCCTTCACCTCCCCCTCTATATTTTATTTCCCTTCTGCCCTAGTGACTGGGCTGCCTTCCTCAAACAGTAACACACTTATTTACGTGATCTTAAAATGTATAAAGAATAGTTTCAGGTTGACTATACTATACTTGCTATCAACAATAAATTCACTGTATAAAAACCAAGGTTTCTCGGACTAGAGGGATGATTCAGCAATTAGGAGCACTGGCTGCTCTTGCAGAGGACCTGGGTTTGAATTCTAGTACCCACATGATGGCTAACAACTGTCTGTAACTCCAGTTCCAGGGGATCTGATGCCCTCTTCTGACCTCCTCGAGCACTGCACCAGTGACATGGGTATACTCACATACCTGCAGGGAATACACTCATATACGTAAAATAAAAAATAAATGAAATATTTTTTAAAACTCCAGGTTTCTTTGCAATCATATGAATAGTTAGCCCATTTTCTGTTCCTAACACTTGCTTCCCACAATCTGGGTAAATTATAAAGAAGGGAGGTTTACTGTGGTTTGTTCTTCAGGAGATGCAAGGTTGAGGGTTTGCAAATAGTGACAGCCTTCTGCCTGACAGAGTCTGGATGTGAAGCAGGGAGCATGCCTGTGTACATTTGTCTGTCCAGTCTCCCTTTTTCTTCCGATAAACCTTCTAGGATTTTGTCATGGAGGCGCTACCTTAAGCCCATATCTAGTCTTAATCACTTCCCAAAGGCCCACTCCAAACACCATAGTCCATTAAGTCTCCACCTTCAATGGGAGTTAAACTCTTGTATGAGTTCTAGGGGGTAGAACATTTTCAGTTCATAACATTCCTTAAAATATATTTTATTAGCTGGGCGTGGTGGTGCACGCCTTTAATACCAGCACTGGGGAGGCAGAGGAAGGCGGATCTTTGTGAGTTCAAGGCCAGCCTGGTCTAC